AGCATAAATTTTTAATCATTTGCTACAGATTCTGAACTTGATTTAGTTCTAGGGTCTTGTAAGAAATGTTCCGGATGTGTCCGGGTGAACCTCCACCCCAGGCTTAGGTCCTTTGCAGCCTCTAACATGCAGAGCTACTGTGTCCCCTCTGGTATTTGTTTTATTGTGGGGTTGAGGAATTCAGGGTGGGTGGCTAATTCTTTGTTTTAATGTATTTATTTTTCGAATTTACATTTTCTCTTGTTTCAAATGTTTTTGGTGGCCCTTATGTGGCTTGACACAATTTTCAGATTTCTGAAAAATATCAGAAATCTATTGGGATTGAAATTATGTTTCCATCCCGATAGATTACAGATACCTTCTGGTTACAATGTGACAAAAATTGGAGGAAAGAAAAATATTCTGCAAAGCACTTAATGCTCTTATACTCTGCAGTTCTTTTTCTTTTTTAAACCATTTGCCTTTACAAATCAGTGTCTGTCTGTAATGTAGCTGCAGGTCCAAACCAAACAGCAGCACTGGGCACTTTTAGACCTACAAAATAAATAAAAAAAAGGAGCCCGGTATAACTTGGAGCACTTTTTGTTTAATTCTCACACAACAGCCTTGCATTAATGATGATGATGATGTATAACCAATGGGAACAAATTGGCCATGAAAAAAGACTCAACTACTAAGATAAGCTCCAGTTTCTTGTGTCCTCCTTGGACAGCCTGCCAGGGTGTGCAGCCAGCTAACAGCAGAGTGCTGGGAACTTCAAGGCCCCAAACAGGTGTCTGCTCTGTGGCCAGTCAGCAGGGCTGGGATGGGAACACAAAGAGCTCAAACAGACCTGCCAGCATGTTACAGTCTGAAATATCCCAGGCCAGTATGAACACTTCTACATTTCTCAGCAGCCCTGGGTCATGACTCAGTGTCACAGCCTCAGAACGAGCACAGAGTGGGTTTTGAAGCCTGGTGAATGGCAGAAATGATGGAGGCCATCTGGAAGTAACAAATAGATGGCCGGGTGTAATGGGAAGCTGGTCTTTATAGAATTTACCCCAAGGGTACTATTTTATTTTTCTATTTTTTGAGAATAAAAACAGGGTCTTTGTTGTTTCTGTGTTATCATGTCACGTCTTCTGTGTTTTTGCTGTGATCAGCTAAGAATTTTGTACTGCATCCAGATCCCATGGGTCTGTGTGATATTTAAAGGCTTGCTTCGGGGCAGCTAAGTTGTCCTGGCATTTTGGCTGGCAAGGCTGCAAAAGAACTGGAGGAGAGGGAGAGGTGGACCTTTGTCTCTATTCACTTACCACTTCTCCTCAGGGATGACGTGGATGTGAGGCAGGGTAGAATGGAGTCGAGTGGAGGCTCCCCTCATCTTCTACAAACAATGGATCCCTGTGTATTTGACCCCCCTCCCTTGCACAATCAAGTGCATGGCTAGGCTTGAAGCTGGGATGGAATTACATTTTTAACAGATTTTGCTGGTGAAATGTTTGAGGAGGGAGGGTCAGTGTTGAGTAGAGCCATGGCCTCTGGGCCTTTTTGTTCCAATTTAGAAATGGATCAATAATCAATTATAATTTCCTTTCTTTGTCTCATTTCGGATCAAGTCCAACTGATTATATGCAGTGCAATGTGATTCATCTTCCCCTGCTGCTGGGGGACGGACTACTAACCTATATTTGAGCTGAATGAGCCGCAGTAGGGCCACTGGGTCATTAAAAAGTAATTAACAGTGATTTATCTGTTGTGTTCTTTAATTTATTCAGTAACTGAATGGGCGCATTTATGTGGAGCACAGATAAACTGTAAGTTAGTTTCAAATCTGGTGGGATTTGTGGACATCAGAATTTAGCTGATGTTTATCCAAATTGCATCTTTTTGTGTAAAGTCGTCAACTCCCAGTAAAAAATATAGCTGATTTCCATTTCTCTTTTTGAACTATTAGAGCTTCATTTGAATTTTGATTTAAGATCAACGTTTAATGACATGCAATGAAACTTCACCACGCAGGATAAAAGTTGCTTTTATAGCAGAAATGGTATAAATGGCAAAACACTGGGAGAACCTTGCATGTTTTGGGGTTTTTATCTCCCTCTAGCCTTCCTGAGCTGATCTATACTCTATTAGGAGCAAAACAACAGAAAATCAGCCTCCATGTGTAATCCCATATGAATACAGATCCTGTTCTCTAATGGCGGAGGTCAGTATCCAGCTTGTTCCATAATGTAGGTTAAAAAATAGAGCAACTATGTATTATTATTATTATCCTTCTTATTACCTGCTGAAAGTCTCGCTGTCTTTTTGCTTTAGTCTGAGTGAATCTTTGGCTACATTCACACTGCAGCCTGAAGTGACCCAAATCCGATTTTATATATATGATATGCAACCTGGATCTGATCTTTTCATGGCTTTCTGAGCAACACAGATCCGATTTTTTCCAATCCGACACAGGCCACTTGGCTATGTGGTCCTGAATCCGATACAAATCTGATCTTTTCAAATGCGACCTGTGTCTGAACGGCCAGGTTGGATTCATCCGACCTAAACGTCATTAATACCCGACAATGGTCACTATTATACTTCTAGCAGAAGCGGAAAGAAAAACAACAACCATGGCAGATGATGATGCGGAGAGCAGTATTTATGTTTAAACATATTGAAAAGATTGTGTTTTTATGGTTGGAAAATACCGCTAGATGCACGCTGGCACTACCATCCATGTTTACCTCGGGGAAAAAAAGAGCACGTCATTGCGTCCTCTACTGTGCATGCAGGACTCGTGCATTGTATGACTGCAGTTCACACAGTAGATCACATACAAGTCGCATATATATGGAAATATGAACGGGAATGCGGGAAAAAAAATCGGATTTCGCAAAAAAATCGGAATTGAGCATCAAGGCCTTCAGTGTGAACGTAGCCTTTGTCCTTGTAATCATTTAACTACGATTTATATTTGTTTTTAGAGATAGAAAACAAAAACATGGATATCTGACAAGTACATTATACTAGGTTACAGTTGTTTTGCTCTCAGTTTTTCTGTGCTAAATCTAGTTATGTGTTAGTCAGTTGTTTTGAATCTACTTATCACCATTTTCCTTGTGACTGGTCCACCCATTTTGCAGCCCTCATGCTGGTACTGTACCCTCTTTCAATCAGGTTGGTATTTAAAACCAGAATAACCTGCTTAGTTCTGGATCGCATTGCTTACTCAGAGCTGAAGTGCGCTTTCAGATCGCCCTCTGCTCATTGCTGCCTCTTTAACCTTCTAAGACACAGGATGCTGAAGGCTCCCTAACTGCCAACATCCTGTGTGTTCTTTAAATGGGATACAAACCAGGGTGTGAGGTTGTTTCTTAAACACAGCAGCTCTCACATGACTTGATCTGCAGAAAGGAAACGCATAAGCTTCACTATTGAATTATGTGATTTATTCACCTCCCAGCTGAAAGCTTTTCAGTGTCAACAACGTTCAAGTAAAGAAGGTAATTACTCTTATGTGAGAGTCACAATGATGTGGTTTGAGTGCAGTGAAAACAGACCTTTGGGATAAATTAGGGTTCACTGCTCCTTCTCGGACCGCAGTAATTTGGCCACATGGTTTAGAGGCCGGATTTAGAACAGATTAAGAGATTTATTGTAATATTTTACCAAAGCTTTAAAGCTTGTTCTTTTCACCCCAGATTACTCAATGATTCACCTAGAAACATTGTTCTAATTATGGAAAGGATAAATTACTGTAAAACCAAGGCAAGAAGATAATTGTAATATTGATAATTATTAATTCTGCTGTATATTTTAGCCTTTCTGTAGAATGACTTATGTAAAGCTGATAAAAGCCATGATTTATAAATAGTTTTATAAAACAAAAGTCAAATAAGAATAATGTAGATAAGATGAGTATCTGCATGAATGGGGGAAAAGGTTTTCATCACATTCTTCTTAAGGGGAAGGCAGAGGACAAATGGGTCACAGTGACTCATGAAATGACAAACTGAAAAAGACACCAGTGTGTAATAATGGTTGACTATCAGCAAGTTTGTCGTGGCGTAAGTTATTGTCGTTATCACCAGAGGCAAGCAGATCTAGTTTCCTACATCCTCAGAGCAGTAACAGGTGGAGTTTCATGACTGTAAGGTGGAAGGACAAACAATGGATGAATTAACTGAATTTTATTACTAATTGGGTGTGTGTCATTTCCTGATACTCATGGTTTCAGGGGGCACCAAAGGGGAGGGCGAAGGGTCCCGGGAAGATCCTGGAAACGATGACATGATGGATTTCTGTTGTAATTTTAAAAATGTTAACATGGCACAGCTTTTGATCTGTCGTTATCTCTTTACATTTCCACAGAGTAAAAAATATCCAAGTTTTAATACATTTGACTTTCTCCTAAACCAGGGTTCTTAAACTCCAGTCCTTTAGGACCAGCATCATACAACTTTGAGATCTGTCTCCTACCCTAAGCATCTGAATCAATTGGCCTTTCATATAACATTTCTGTGGAGCTAAATGAACAAACTTGGAAAAATACTTTTAATCTGTTTTCAAACTGAGAATGAAACATTTTGCTTGCAGGTGGTAAAAAATGAGCAGTTTGAAATGGAGCATAAATCACCAGGAGCCCCTCAGCCCTAAATTATACCTATATTTGTGTTAAAAAAGTAGCAAATCCTCCTTTTAGGTTTGTTTGCATGATAGAGAACATGTATGGCCTACTGTACTATAGAAGAAACTGACCTATCAACTGTTGCTGTGTGTCTGCTGATCTAATTGTATTCATCTTTTGGTTTGAATGCTTTGGTTTTGCTTCACCAACATCCTTTTTACTGCAGAAGTTCATTATTCAGTGTTCTCTTATTTTAATTTTTTTTTTTTTTACAGAAAGAGGCTGGATCTTTGTGTTTTAGAGAAGTTGTGCTAGCTCTGATAACATCACCCCGTTTAAAGAACTTTAGATCCTGGTTCTGGTTTTAATAGGGCTGTTTATTTGTGTGTTCCTGCAGGGTAAACTTCACCATTCCAAAGCTTTCAGAGTCCAACATGGGATTCGGAGTGCTTGGAGTTTTTCTGGGGCTCCTGTTGGAGGTTTCAACCCAGGGACCTCACAGCATTCCAAGAACTTCCTGGAATCGCCAAGGTAAAGCCTTCCACTATCACAACTCTGGATAAAAACAGCAGATTTAGCTCTTTCATAAATTCAGTAAATGGAAACTTGTACCTAAGGACAGTAAAACAATTACTAAAGAAATACTGAAGTGAAAATGTTATGGATTTTAACCTTTTTACCTCTAGAAATGTGTCACACATCCAATTTCCCTTTCTGTAAAAACTATAAGAGTTAATGTTCATCACTATGAGTGGATATCTTTACGTAAACTCAAAACAAGAAACTCGAGACGCTGATATAAAGTTCAGTTGCTCTGCTGGCAGTGTTGGAGGAACAGAGCGTTCACACGGTCTTTAGATGTCAGACTCTTTCAGCTGTGAGTCTCATGTTCACAATAGAACACTTACTTTCACCTGTTGCTTACTTTTATCAGGAGAAACCTGTCCCCGTCTTAAACTAGGTGCAAAATTCTCTGAAGAGGAAGCTCTCATTGCTGATTACAGAAATAGTTGAAGTAACTCTGTCTCTGTGTGAGAACAGTGAGAGCTGCTCACCTTTAAACTCTTCTTACTGTCACCCATCTGCAGTTTCAATCTGCTGAGGGTATTTATCTCACGACCTGCATCTGCAAACTGAAGCCTCTTACCACTGTCACAGTCCTTTATGAACACACATGCATTACACCCAACACAACGGACCATTCAGATATGTTTGAAGTGGCAAAAGTTACTACAGTATATAATGAATGTGTCTCTGAAGGGGGAGTTATGGCAGCAAAGTGTATTATGAATAATGTTAGGAGATGTAAAAAACTAACTAACTTCAGCCTTGGATGCAGAATAATGAGTGATTAGGCTTCCTTTAATGTTACTTTTTTAAAAGACTTAATATAAGAGATAAAAATGCCTCCATACTTGAGCTCCTCCTTGGATCTCCTTATATTTATTAGAATAAATCTGAAAAGGCTGTTATGTATATTTATTTAGAAATATATTCACAATAGAAAACTGCCTCAATCATGCTGGGTTTTGTATCCAACCTCTTTACACATCAGGAGTGTGACATGTTTCTTTGTTAAACAGCTCCAGCTTAGAGAGAGCTTCTGTGATCAGAAACTGTCACGTTCAGATTAAGATTATTAATTGGCTTTATGTGCATACTTTGACTAGGCCCTTTGTAATCACACATGCCATTCTATTGTTGATCTGGCTCTCACTGTTTTTTCTGGAATATTATGTCTCTTATTTAATTTTATTTGCATAGTACACTTTATGCATAAATGTCATAATAACATCTAGTTTGCCTTATTGTTTCTTTATTATAAAAATTAAGCATATTCACATCTATATAAATACGCATCAGTTTGGTGTCTGGACTTACTGACACCAAAATAGTGTCGTTTGCTGATACTTTTTCATTAAGTTATTTAATTAATTTATATCAAACATGATATAGTTGATAAATTAACTGGTGTTTTTAAAGTTCCAAGTTTATTTTAGATAAGGAGGAACTGCGTAGTAATTTTGCTTAAATTGTTATGTACCCGAGTTGCTCTGTGAATTTTAGGTTTTTCTCTGATGCTACTTGTTACTGACATTCAGCCAATCATATCTTTGCATTTGTGACATTTTTAGATGAAGGCGAAATGTAAGAGAAATTATCAAAGCTTGATATGTTGTTAAAACCCACCCCTGCTTCAGCTTCTTTTACAATAATAACCTGCTTAAAGATTAACTGTGTTTATTAGGTGCTTTCTAGAAGTAGTTAGGATTTTTTTTTCTTTTCCTTTTCTTTTCAAAAGGGTCCGATTATATATGCATGCAACAGTTTTCAGATTTTAAACCATCAAAGCGTTTTAAAATGTTGTATCCTTTTCATTCCCCTTAAAATCTAACAAGTGGCAGTCTGTTGGTCTGTCACATAACGTAGAAACAATTTTTTTTGACATTTGTGGTCATAATTTGGAGAAGTTATAGAGGCCTGAATGCTTCTGCAAGGCTATTTCTGTTTTGCCTTGAAATGCCTGACCTTCGACGTATAGCTTAGAATCAGTTTCACATTAAAATGTCTTTTTCTATGGTGAATTGCTCCTCTGTGGAACAAATCAAATCACAGCCAAGTCTCCTGCACTTCACTGAGCTTTATATATTGTGTCTCTGTGTTTGCAGAGAACCACTGAAATTAAGATCTGAACAAAATGTCATAAAATTCTCCTCAGATTTGGATCTCCTGGAGTTTTGGGAGCCTGATGTTTTTAACTACTCTACGCTGCTACTCAGTGAGGAAAGGGACGCTCTGTATGTGGGAGCAAGGGAAGCCATCTTTGAGCTCGATAAAAGGGATGTGACCATCAGGAACCAGAAGGTAAAAGAATAGGAGTAATATGAGTGTCAGAGCTAAGAAGACGCCTATGAAGATCTGAGTTTTTGTTTTTGATTTTGAAGGTTCAGTGGAAAGTTGCAAAACGTCCCATGGACATGTGCACACTGAAAGGAAAATCAAAAGAGGTTTGCTACATAATAAATGCACTTTTTATTTCTTTTTGTTGCTGATGTACGTTTCTAGCTTAGACTTAAGCTGTGCTGCTTTATTTCAGAGGGACTGCCTAAACTACATCCGAGTGCTCCAAATAGTGGATGACGAGCGGCTTTATGTGTGTGGCACACACGCCTTCCAGCCTCAGTGTGATTACTTGGTAGGTTAATGCTCCATTTACCTTAACCGAATAGCATGCTGCACAAATACACACATGCATGGACTCTCTAACTAGTATGACCTTCTGTCTGTCAGAATCTGGCTGACTTCTCAATGGAGGGTCGACCTGAGGATGGCCGAGGGAAGTGCTCATTCGACCCGTCACAGAGCTTCACAACCGTCATGGTCGGTGAGTCGAAGTCCAGCTTCGGCTCATTTCACAAAGAGCTCTGCATTAGGCTGGATGATAATCTGTAGTAATCTCTAGTTATGGAGAGGAAAATCTCACTTGGCTTTTTTCTCCACGCTCCCATCAGATGGAGAGCTATACTCGGGGACAGCTTACAACTTTTTAGGCAGCGAACCGATTATCTCCAGATACTCACCACCCCATTCCCTGCTCAGGACGGAGTACTCCACCTCATGGCTCAACGGTGAGTTTGGACTATATTCCACAGGTGTTTTACCACAATAAGCTAGCTGACTGTGACTCTTTGGGGTTTTATAACATGATGTGACTAATTTAAGTTCTTCCTTAGAAATGTTCCTTTTTCCTGACCCGTAAATAAGGAACAGTGTACAGATCATGCAACTGGCAGCTTCTCATTTTTTATTCAGACATAATCATCCTTAAAATGTCACCATCCGCTAACGCCTATTCATATTATTTCAGGATATTTGTGTAAAATTGTTTTGTACATAGATGAAGAAAAGGGTCTGAACTTCTCAGTATGTTACCAATGTCTGTCTGTCTCTGCTCATTGCAGAGCCTAGCTTCGTCTTTGCAGATGTGATCAGAGCCACGAAGCAAAAAGGAGACGGAGAGGACGATAAGATCTACTACTTTTTCACTGAGGTGTCGGTGGAGTACGAGTTCTTTGGCAAGCTGCTCATCCCCAGGGTGGCTCGCGTCTGTAAGGTCTGTTCACCATCTGCTCATACCTGCAGGATGCCTCTGTGATCTCCATGTTGTTGTTTGCAGGTTTTCAACAACCTTTAAATTTTTCTTCTGTTTTCTTTAGATCTAACGTTTTTTTTTTTGACTTCCAGCCTGCTATAGAGGAACATTTGTTAGACAACAATCTAGCAAGAAACATTTAGTTAAGAATGAAGACTTGGTTAAAGAGACATACATTCCAAGAGTCTAATAAATCAAGGAGATAAAGTACTTGGTGCTTTTTTTTTTAAATTAAAAATGTAAAGGTCTCGTTTTAAAAAATTTGAATTTTTGGTTGAACCTCTTTCTTTCTTGTGAAAGCTTATTGCACTGATAAAAATGGGCTGCTTTCTCAGAGGTGTTTTGTTGAAGATATTTTTCTTGATTCATACTGAAGAAAATATACTCGGTTTCTTCCAAATGTTTGTTTTTCATTCGATATCTTAATAGTATTTTTAAGCTAAACTGTGATTCTGCAAAATAATATTTGACAATGATGAGTGTGTTTCCAAGCACCAATAAATAAAACATAACGATTATATGAGCTTATAGAGGGAAAAAAGTGGATTCAGAGACCATTAACCTGCTTTAAGATCTTAAAGTTAACTTCTGTTTCTTTATTTTTGTGGTCTAAAGTTTATAATCTGCTCTTCCAGGGTGACCTTGGCGGGCAGCGCACTCTGCAGAAGAAATGGACCTCCTTTCTGAAAGCCAAACTGGTCTGCTCTATGCCTGAGCTCAACTTTGTCTTCAATGTGGTCCATGATGTTTTTATTCTGAAGGGGAAAGACTGGAGGGATACAATCTTCTATGGCGTTTTCACTTCTCAGTGGTCAGTGATATTTTACAACTTAAAGCTACGAAATGATCGATGAACATATCAGAGTTACATAGAAGCCTCATTCTTCTGTTTTTTTGTGTCGTCTAACTGTATTAACACATCTGTACCTTCACTGCAATAGGGGAAATGTGGGGTTGTCTGCGGTGTGTGCCTATAACATGACAGCTGTGGAGGAAGTCTTCTCTAAAGGGAAGTACATGCAGAAGGCCACAGTGGAGCAGTCCCACACGAAGTGGGTGCGGTATAACGGCATCCCCCCCACCCCCCGTCCTGGTGCAGTAAGTGCCTTTCAACTCTCTGCCAGCCTTATTTTCACAAACCAGAGCTTGGAAATAATTTCTTCTGGAAATACTCAACACTGAGCCTTGAAAAAGTATTAACATCCATTCAATAGTTTTACATTTTATCCATAAAACCATAAACTTTCTATTTTTTTTATGTGCTACAGTTACAAAAAGTATCGCATATTGCTCAATTGTAGGAAAACCACTTATGTGAATGTTTTCCTTGTTGAGGGGTGGGTCTGAAAAGTGTGGTGTGCTTTTGGATTAATTCTGATACCCCTCAATAAAATTCAATGCAACCTTTTGCATTCAGGCTCCAAAATATTTGCAAAATGCAGTGAGGTAGAAAATAAAGCCCAAGGACTTCTCCATTGTGAAGCAAGGTAGTGGCAGTATCATTCTGTGATGGTTTTCTTTCCTCATTAGAAAAGCTGTTCAGCTAAATACAAATCAGTCGTAGAAGAAGACCTGTGATAGATTATTTAAGACAACCTGGCTACACCAACTAGTGGATTCATTTAGCATAAAATATATTAGTGTGGGAATGGCCTAGTTAAAGCCAAGACCAAAATTCAATTGACTAAGACTTAAAATCTGCTGCTTGGGTGCCATCCAGTCCATCTAACTGGGTTGAAGGATAATAGACAAAACAATAGTTTGCGGGTCTTTTTTTTCCTCTCTATATAACTTGGGTTGGCTGGCGGTATGTATCCTTTGCCTTACACTTCATGGTTTAGTTTATGTTGTTCTAGATGGTAAAATCTCCTTGAAGTTTGTGGTTTAGAACGGAGTGGAGTTTATTAAGTGATTAGTTTTTTCAGGGTTCTGTCTTAAAGATGTGACAACTGTCTGACTTAAACCTGTCTTTTTGTTTTAAACACCAGTGTATCAACAATGAAATGCGGCGGCAGAACATAAGCAGCTCACTCCACCTCCCAGACAAGACCCTTCAGTTTGTGCGGGACCACCCGCTGCTGGAGGACCCCGTCCTGCCCATTGGCAACCGACCTCGGCTCATCACCAAAGACGTCAACTACACACAGCTTGTAGTCGAAAGGGTCCACGCACTCGATGGGAACATCTATGATGTCATCTTTAGCGGAACAGGTAAGGACTTATTAGCCTTCATCCTGCATGCAAATAGCTTCATTTGACTAACATTTGCAACAATATTTGTTAATAATCCTGTTATGCTAATATGAGAAACTGATAAAGAAAGGTTTTCCCATGAACTGTTAGCAGGCAGATCAACTGTTTTTCTTCCATCTTTGTTTCTAGATAAGGGTGTCCTGCACAAGTCTGTGGTGTTTGAGGAAGATGTTCATATTGTGGAGGAGATCCAGCTTCTGAAGAACCCTGAGCCCATCAAAAACTTATTGCTGTCCACTGAGGTCAGACACTTTTCCAGTTCGTCTAAAAATTATGTAAAAAATGCAGATGTAAAATCCTTCTGGGATCAGCCATCTCCTGTTTTATCTAAATCCCCCCAAAATTATCAAGAAAACAAAAAGAATATGTCTTCCAGAAAGTCTTGGAGAGGGGAAAATTTTAACACAAAGAGCTAAGTCATGTGTAATAGCAGAGGGCTGAAAAATGCAGTTTAGCATATTTACCTAAAAAAAAAAAAAACGGTATAAAGGCCAGCTGCTTTTCATTCTGTGCAACTTTGATGATGGCACATGATGCCAAGATGGCAGCCATGTTACAGACAATCTAATGTACTTTTCAGACTGTTTTAGTTAAAGTCTCAGCTGATTGGTCTGTCATTAGTTTTAGTAGAGACTTAGACATCAACATACACTATATTGCCAAAAGTATTTGCTCACCTGCCTTGACTCACATATGAGCTTAAGTGACATCCCGTTCCTAATCCATAGGGTTCAATATGACGTCGGTCCACCCTTTGCAGCTAGAACAGCTTCAACTCTTCTGGGAAGGCTGTCCACAAGGTTTAGGAGTGTGTTTATGGGAATTTTTGACCATTCTTCCAGAAGCGCATTTGTGAGGTTGCACACTGATGTTGGACGAGAAGGCCTGGCTCTCAGTCTCCGCTCTAATTCATCCCAAAGGTGTTCTATCGGGTTGAGGTCAGGACTCTGTGCAGGCCAGTCAAGTTCATCCACACCAGACTCTGTCATCCATGTCTTTATGGACCTTGCTTTGTGCACTGGTGCACAGTCATGTTGGAAGAGGAAGGGGCCAGCTCCAAACTGTTCCCACAAAGTTGGGAGCATGGAATTGTCCAAAATGTCTTGGTATGCTGAAGCATTCAGAGTTCCTTTCACTGGAACTAAGGGGCCAAGCCCAGCTCCTGAAAAACAACCTCACACCATAATCCCCCCTCCACCAAACTTTACACTTGGCACAATGCAGTCAGACAAGTACCGTTCTCCTGGCAACCGCCAAACCCAGACCCGTCCATCAGATTGCCAGATGGAGAAGCGCGATTCGTCACTCCAGAGAACGCGTCTCCACTGCTCTAGAGTCCAGTGGCGGCGTGCTTTACACCACCGCATCCGACGCTTTGCATTGCACTTGGTGATGTATGGCTTGGATGCAGCTGCTCGACCATGGAAACCCATTCCATGAAGCTCTCTGCGCACTGTTCTTGAGCTAATCTGAAGGCCACATGAAGTTTGGAGGTCTGTAGTGATTGACTCTGCAGAAAGTTAGCGACCTCTTCGCACTATGCGCGTCAGCATCCGCTGACCCCGCTCCGTCAGTTTACGTGGCCTACCACTTCGTGGCTGAGTTGCTGTCGTTCCCAAACACTTCCATTTTCTTATAATACAGCTGACAGTTGACTGTGGAATATTTAGGAGCAAGGAAATTTCACGACTGGATTTGTTGCACAGGTGGCATCCTATCACAGTTCCACGCTGGAATTCACTGAGCTCCTGAGAGCGACCCATTCTTTCACAAATGTTTGTAAAAACAGTCTGCATGCCTAGGTGCTTGAATTTATACACCTGTGGCCATGGAAGTGATTGGAACACCTGATTCCAATAATTTGGATGGGTGAGCAAATACTTTTGGCAATATAGTGTATTTATTTTGTCATTTCGTACACACAAAAAGAAATTTTGTTCAGAACAGCTCTCTAGACAATCTCATTCTTCAAAGTGCAGCCTTGACAAGGCAAGCAGCAGCAATTAAAAAAAAAAAAAAAAACAATAAAAAAAACCCACTGTGATATTAAGTCACTATATCTAGTTATGGAATGCACAACATTCATGTTTGCTTGGCAGCAGTGATGTCAGACGGATCTGGATAGGATCTTAGCATCCAAATGGGATTTTTACCCTGGTGGAAGAGGATCTGATGCTGGAGCATAGGGCACTGTTTCCTGGGCTTCACCCCATCAGTTGTTGTTGAGCTTCCGGCTCCTGAAGCAGTCGCTTCTCCTGGCTCAGGGTAGGATGATGATGAGGATGCTGTGAGGGTGGTAGCTCCCTGGGTTGAAGAGGCTGATGTGGTTGAAGCAGCAGTGGTGCCATCGGCAGGTTTAGCAGCGGCAGAGGATAATGGAGAAGATGTGGAAGCTGGAGCGGGCCGGGAGGAGCCAGCTGGGCATGTTTCAGCATTTGGGCGTGAAGCATCTAGAGTGCTCTCCTCATTTTCACCTGCAGAGGACTGTGCTTCCTTCCTAGATGCTGACGATTGCCTGGGAACAGTCTAAGAGGAGCCTCTATTCATGCAGAGCTTTTTTTTTCTATCGGTGTGGTATAGCATCAGTCCCCCCAGGCCAACAGCATCGTCCGGTACTGCTGGACGCAGCCAAGACACCGTCAGAATGATGGCGCAGCATATATATATTACATATCTCCTTTTTTGAAGAGAGTTTGAGTCGGAGATGATCCATTTTGTTTTCCAATGAGTGGACGTTGGAGAGAACGATTGATGGAAGTGGTGGTCTGTTGGGATCTCTCTTTAGATTCGCAGTTGGCCCACCTCTGCAGCTTTGCTTTCTCCGTCTCAGGCATCTCTTCCTCCATTATTTTCCACTGTTGCCTTGTTCACATCCGTCAGTAGCAAAAAACAGTAAACAATTTCAGTATTTAAAACATTTTGTGACCGTAGGTCCAGGAGGCGTTGGCGATCATAGATGCGGGTTTGTTGTCTAGTTTGTATCGTTTTAAGCGCATATTTTGTGAAATTGTCGAGATGAGCTGGTCTTGGCCGCTGCCTTGGAGCGCCGCCATCCATGGTGCCCTGCCACCCTGCAGAGAAAGTTTATTTCAGCAGCTTGTAACCACGATCTCATTCTTTGGTCATGACCCAGATTTCATGAGCATAGATAAGGATAAGAATGTTGACCAACCGGTAAATCGAGAGCGTTGCCTTTTTGCTCAGCTCTGTCTTCACCACGACAGACCAGTGCAGCAGCCGCACAGATCCAACTATCCATCTCCCGCTTCATTCGCCCCTCACTTGTGAACAGAACCCAAAGATACTTGAACCCCTCCACTTGAGGCAGGAATGATAATGATAATAAATGAAAAAATCTTTTTTTCTGACTTCTTAAAGATAGACTACTAAAAATCGTTTTTTTAAAGTTTTAAAACCAGCAGAAAAATTCAAGAACTAACTTTGTCATTTATGAATATAAAAAAAATCTCCAACTATGATCCATTTTTAAAATTAATATCAAACAACATCAAATTACTCATTTTTAGTTGATGCATTTCTACATTAAATGGTAAAGATTCTGAAAACTTTCGCTGCATATATTATACGAACAACCTTATTGTTTCTAGACTCGGTCGGTGTATGCTGGGTCAGACTCTGGCGTCGTCCAGTCGCCAACAGCGTTCTGTGGAAAGTATCCTTCCTGTGGTGAATGTGTCCTGGCCCGAGACCCCTACTGCGCCTGGGACCCCAACACAGCTGCCTGTGTTATGATCCTTGACGCTCCAAAGGAGCAGCGAAGGTAACCGGATTGGCAGCATTCCCTTTTTTATCTTTTATCTTTCCGACTAGCTGTTCACTCATCAGTCCGAAGGAAACTTCCAGAGAAATTCTTCCTGTTTGACCTGCTTTGTGTCATCCTAACATGTGGCAATGGTTTTGACTTGTTGTGTTATCTGTGTTGCAGGAGGCTGATCCAGAGTCTGAATGGTGATGCAGACAAGTGTCCCACAGGTAAGACATGAGCTCACATTTAGCCTGATGAGACGCTCGGTGAACCAGAACAGTGTGACAGCAGATACATGGGTTTCCTATCCAGTGTGTGGTATTTACTGGTCAGAAGACGAATGGGGGATTTAAATAGAAATATGTTTAGAGGTCCAGATAATTCCTTAGCTGCCTCATCAGATAGCTAATAATTCTCATTTATTTTAAATATTCTTTTGTCTTTTTTCCACATTATATTTTTGTCACTCTTAACATTGGTTATTTCTTGTTTTGCTTTCCAGTGTCTGCAGTGTCTCACGAGGACTATCAGAAGGTGTTGGTGAAACCAGGCAGCTCTGCTGAGCTGCCCTGTGTCATTCACTCCAACCTGGCGCATGTGATGTGGAAATCTAACGGCTCTCTTCTTAGCGAGGCTTCTCGTTTTCACTTCATTGCCGAAAACGGGCTCCTCATTTACAGCGTGGCCCCGGAGGATCAGGGTTACTACGAGTGCTGGTCTGTGGAATGGGCTCCCGCTGCTGGGAAGAACTTCAGCCGCCTGCTGGCTGGATACAAGTTGAACTTGGATCTTCCTCCCAGGCCCCCTCCCCAGATAAAGCGTGTGGCCACCACAGTCAGCAGCCAGGAGACTAGTAGCGTGCATGAAGCTGAAGGTAATGTTAAGACAGAGAGACAGCCACTAACTTCAGCCAGCTTCACATCCACAGTCCTTCTCACCTCCCCTCCCCAAACTGACCCATCACTAACCCGGCCGCCCATACCCACAATCCGGTTACAGCCGAGCAGGAACATTCCTCCAAACTCAGTCATTCCCGGTTCAGACAGCCAGGACCCTGCAGCCGAGTACCTGCAGAACAACAACAGCATGGCCCTCCTCTTCCTCTTTCTCCTGTTCTTCCTCCTCTTCTTGGCTGCCATGGTGTACAACTGCTACATGCAGTACCTCCCAGCTCCGTGCCTGAGGCTGCGAGCCACTCTGCTGGGGAGCAACAAGTGCACCCATCAGTCCGAGTACAGAGCCTGTGAGGCGGGTTTAATGGACGCGCCCGCCGCTGAGAAAATTAACATGACTGAGCAACCCACCCAGAATGGCAGCCAGACCACCAAAAACCTCCAGGCACTGCGGGACACGGGCTATGAGACTGAACCGGAGTGCAGCAACGGCCGCGTCCCTTCCCATGACTTTGGAGCCGACGGCGCCTCCCAGGAGAAACCTTTCGACGTGGACTGCGACTCCCAGTCCATCCAGTTTGCAGACGCTGATGAGCCTTACTGATAGAACCTGTGCTGGTTTCCTCTCGTTCAGCATTGAAAGTATGCCTGGGCAACGTGCCGTCTGTCTGTGTCAGGCAGGGGACAGAATGACCAGAACAAATAAGATTTACAGTATTCAGCACAATGATTTAAAACGTATAACCTGATTGAGTTTAAAACAGTGAAACAATATTAATTTATAGTGCTGTTAAATACTACAACCTATTGGAAGTTAAGATTATAAAATATATGTGGATTTAAATACAAATATTTGAGCACAAATTGAATAAACCACTAGATTTAGTTGTATGCAGGATATTAACATGCTGGTCATTCTGCTCTTTATAAGTTGATTTAAAAGCTGATATATTACTGGCCAGAGTGGTGGAGTTTGCATACTGTCTCTTTAAAATGGTTTTACTGTGATGGAGAGATTGATGGTGAAGACAAACAGGTGGGGGAGGGGCAAAGGTTACCCTTTTAAATGGTGTCCTTTGATTACTGGCCCATGCCTAGCAATCAAGCCAAATGTCCAGCACCTTGCGAACTGTTGCTATCTCCAGGCTTAGATCAGACACGTGCTCTGATTCAGGGCTTCTACCTTCTTTCAGCTGAGTCCAGCAAGAAAAAGCTATTTCTTATCTTCCAAATTGGAAACATTATTTACCAAATTGGTAAGCTAAGGTGATGTTTTCCAAATTGGAATCCTATTTCTATTCCACCTGCGTAGAAAAAAAAAAATCGCTTGCAGCGTTTGCTTCTGTTTGTTATTTTATCTGATGCTTTGTCGTCATGGTGATTTCTCAGGGAAGAGTGGTTCTGTACGGTTAGTCGTGGTGCGTCAACTTGTGTTGTAATCCACACCAAATGGTCTGCAAGTCAGAGGATGAGGAAAAAAACAGCAATCTGACGTCTTGATCAGTGGAGAGAAGCTGGAATGTATGGAACTGTGGACTGAGTGGAACTGCTGAGATTAAAAGAAAAAAGAGGCTATTTTTATTGTTTGTTTTACCTGTGAAGTCGACGTTCCTGATTGTCTCGTGTATTAACCTTCATCACTCCGTCTCTTTATGTTGCGTTAACGGGAAAAAAAATGTACAGCATGAATGGAGGACATCAGAGCCCTGGAAACAATCTGAAGTTTTATATTTATTTTGATGGCTTTATTTAACATTCAGTTTTAGGTTATTTAAGATGACACATCTGTGGTAACATCAACAAAGTTGATGGTTAACTCCTCGGTTTTATTCTGATCTTAAATCCCTCACTCTCCCTTTTTAATCTTCTCTGCATGCCACCCGGTGTTCAGGTTTTCCTCAAAGCTCTCTTCTTCTCCGCTGCTCCCTCTCACAGCTTCCTCCTCATCTTCCCTGTCATCCTCTGGAAGTAGCTCTTGCTCTTCCCTCCCTTCCTCTTCCTCCTCCTCTTCCTGCACCGAGCCCCAAAGCGCGAAGGCTCGGGAGGCAGAGGTGAAACTGTTGCCTCCTCTCCTGAAGGACCAAGCCTGGGGGGTTCATGCCCAGGAGGCCTTCCTCCTCTTCTGCCTCGCCCTAGGTGAGTTCTGCCCGTGCCTGACTTATCTCACCCCCCCAACCCCCCGCCTCCCTCAGGGACACATGCTTGGGTTATGAAGTCCATGCATTGTGCATTTAACCCTTTCTTTTCCACTCATTCTTTTTCTTTCTACTGTGTTTTGGCATTACTCAAAGCTACACTAACAGTGAGCATTTTGGTTTCTGGATTTATTTGCTTCTCTGTTTGGATTACCACCAAGATGGATCTATATGGTGATTTATTGTTTAATTATCAGCTTCATATAACTGACCTGCACAAGTACAGTCATTGGGGGGAAAAAAACATTAGATCACTCTTGTTTTCAGAGATGAAGGTCGAGCTATCAATATGACTCCATGTGTGTAGAATTGGACTGGACTGTGTAGCTGCTGCTGAAAGAACTTAAGTGATTTAGGTTATTATCAACAAAACATGAGGAAATGGTTGGAAATCTGCTTTTAATTAAAATTTATATAAGCTGTTCATATTTTTAGTTAAATAAATGTAACTGTTCTGCATTTTAAAATGGAGAATTAACTGAGGAAAACAGAGTCATCTAATCATTTTATCCCCTGACTGTTTTTATACATTGTTTAACTGCAGTTTTAAATTCGTAAGAAATTGTGAATTGTAAAGAAGATACTGAAAAAGCTGAAGTTTTTTTTTGTGCCTGTAAACATTTGTGAATATATCTGTATATATTGGAAATACATTTTGAGTATGTACATAAATCCAGGGGATGTTGGGCTTCTAGTAAAAGTCAAATAAACCTTGTCAGCTGTTTTCAAAACTAGTGTTTTTTTTAAATAAATAAATGACCCAAATTATACAATGTTGTACCTTGTTGTTTAAAACTAATCCTAACACACAGCACATTTATTTTTAAGCAGCCACCAAACACAAAGTAGTGCATTAATGCCAAGTGGAAGGATACAAATCTTTATTGTACCTCTTGGTCACTACTCCCAATTAATAATGCCCGTGCACAGTTTGCTTGGGTTAGGATTGTAGGTGTGCAGTTTTCATATGTTACCAACGGTTTGAAAAAGCTTAGTGTTCCTGAGAAAAGTCTTTTTTCTTCATGTTGTTGCTGTAACCTTTTTTACCAGCATGCAGAGCAGATTGGATGCTTGCATGATTGCTTAAATCTCTGCATCGTCTGAAACTGAGACCCCTTATGTTAACGCGCCAGAAGAGAGCAAACTGTTCTCCTGTGGCCATGTCTCGACAATCAGGGGTCAACAAGAGGTCCCCTTCTGTCCTGCAGGTCCTAGTGACGTCCACATTCAGTGGCTAATGAATGGGCACGGTGTTGACACTCCAGTAATGGAGTACCGCAGGCCTCTGGGCCAGAGGGAGGTGCTGGTGAGCAGCTGGCTCCGAGGGGGCCCACTGATCAAGGAAGCCCGGTACCGCTGCATTGCTGAAGCCAGTACAGGAAGTGACAAGTCTGAGATTGACCTCCATCTCACTACTGGAGGTATTTTGGCCCTGTTGTATGTAGTTGTTGGTAAAAATGTTGAACTGTGGTCATGTATGAGGGATTGAGCCCAGTAGGTTGCAAGTGTTGCCTCTCATGAAAACACTGATGATGTTTAAATCTATGAAGGATGTTGTTGTTTGACAGATGAAAACATTCCATCCAGGGATCTGAACCAATGGAGAGGTGCGCTCACAGAACATGAGCAGCTGCTGAAAAGATGGGAAAAGGCCTGGGTAGGTCTCTGGTTGGGTTGGGTTTAGTCCAATTTATATCAAACATATTTGCCTGGAGATTCCTGCTTTATTTGAAACAATATACAAAGATTTCTTCAGTATTAAAATGCAGCCTTGACATTTTTTTTTTATTACTGCGGTATGAGTTGAGTGTATTTATTATTTTCAGGAGAAAAAAAAATCCCATATATATATATATATATATATATATATATATATATATATATATATATTTTTTTTTTTTTTTAAACCATAAGCAATTTAAATTAATACAACTGAAGCAGTTCTTAAGCTGGCATCTCAGGGTCACAAAGTCTCCAAATAACTAATAGATGTCTACGTAACAACCTGTTCCTTAGAAAGTCCAGAAAAAAACATATATATATATATATATATATATATATATATTTCCTCATTTCCTGAGCTCTATTTGGACAAACAGAAACTGCATCAAAGAACACTGAGTGGGTTTACTATGAATTAAATAAGTGGAAAATCAGCTGTAGTCGATCTTTTTAATAAGGCAAAGTGGATGTTGTTCTATGGGTGATGCTGTGGGTCCGTTTCCAAAGGCCCTGGAAACCTTATCAGAGTGCCTGGAATTCAGAGCTCTTTAAAATACTAGTTGACTTAACTAGAGATCAGATGGACCCTTCCTATAAAACTGAAAATGGAGACTTGGGTTTCTGTGTATCACATCAAGTAATGAGTCATTTATATTAAAACGTGAAAATGTTCATTATGAGATAAAGTTTGCTGCTGAGTTATAGATCAACAGGAAGCCTTTTTTTTTTTTTTTTGCCTATACTTACTGTGGAGGAGTGAACCTTTTCATGACTACCTGGAAAGCGTATTTGTCTAATTAAAAACTATTTTCTGTTTAATTCAAAGTACAGATGAATCAAGAGCTTCAAATAAATGAACTTATTTCACTAAACAATATCCTTTTTTTTTATTAATCACAGTTTTTTAACCACATCATTGCTTCAAATTTGGCTAAATATAACATCTTGTTTTTATTACAACCTTTTGGTCTTGTTGAAACTCTTGTTCTGAATGTTTACTCCAACTTATCCCCGTTCTGTATAATGTGTCTGAGATGTTGTCTAAAGTCATTAAAACGTTTAGGAAAAGCCAGATACTCACCTGTTAGGTCCTACTACAGTCCCTGCCTCTTTATATTACATCTTCCACTTTTCTCCTTCCTAAGCTTCATTCTTCCCTCTACAGGAAAGCTGTGATGGCCACACAGCTGGGTGAGAAAATGCTCATTCTGGTTGTGAACGTGCCGCTCAGTCCAGCTGGACCACAACTCTGACACTGAAGCTTATACCAACACAATATGTTTGAGTGTCGCCACTTGATGGACCATGATGTGACCACTTCACAGCTCCTGCCCCCAGCAGGTGTAGGGCTAAAATGGTTGCTCTGATGGTTTTTGGATTCCTTCCAACCTGGAAGGATTGAAGTCCGCCGACTCCTTCAGTCTGAGGACGTTTGTGCTACTGATGAAAACACATTTTAAAAGCAGTCCTTGTATGAAAACGGCACGTGTGTCTCTTTGAAGATTGTTTATCAGACTCTATGGTTCAGTGGCTCTGTTCGAGCCGTTTATAGCGTGATGATACTCAAATGTTGGTCCCCTTGACTTGGCTTCTTATGGCTATCTTACAGAATTTTTACATAAAACATTGTATATACCCTCTACTGGGGTTGAACTGAGATAAGTTTGCCATCTATGATTATACCATTATTGCCAGTATATGTCTTATGCTTAAAAGTTGGCTTAATTATTTACTTGAATCAAGCAAATGTTGTTTTATTATTAACCAACACCACTGCAAAGGTAAACATCCTGCATCCAAAGTTCAATGGGATTTGGCATGCGCTGAAAAGTTTATCACTTATTGCTTTTTTGATGGATTTGGAAAGACGGTACATGTGATTTTCATTTTGGAATAAAATATTTTATTCTTGCCTAGTTTCTATTTTTTTTTTTTTTCTAGTTTTATGTCCTTGTCAAATTATACCTACAGTTTTCCTTTTGTTTTTTTTGTGTTTTAAATTCATTTGTTATTGTCCTATAAATGCCAGTTCCATCCCTAGATATTTCTGTCATGAAGCACCCTGACTATAGTGGAATTACTTTTTCTAAAAGAACAGTAGAACTGTATTTACGTTTGGGATTAATAAAATATATTTTTGAATTGAATTGAAGATAGGGCTGGGAAATTACTGCATTTTCAATCTATTCACAATTCAACAAGATACAATTTCCAAATCGCTGAGGCATTAAATTTTATTTGCATTATATTTCAATTTTTCTCACTTCAGACCTATGGTGGCGTTAAAATGCTTAGAGTAGGCTTGTTCCCAAAGAAAACTATAGGGGGTTGCAGCCATACTGTAGCTACATCCATGCATGCAATGGTTGTTAGCACTTTTACACAAAAAGCTTACAGTAAAATCCTGCAACACTGGACTCCTTGTAAGCAAGCTTTAAAAAAAATAAGCTACAATCTTGGAGATAATAAATAAAATTGCAAAACTGGTTAAAAAATTATCTCAATTTTGATTTTTCTCAAAATCGTTCAGTCCTGGTAGAAAACAAGGGTTATGAATTTCTATGAAAGGCGACATGATATGATACATGATATATGCCACATTTTTACAGATACAAATGTGGGATGTCTATTTGTATTCAGATTCTCTTAGAGAAGGAGAAATAATTATTAGGAGCTGAAACATGTAATGTTAGCTCTGTCTGGTGGGTGGCAATGTCTTGGTGTATCATTACCCATTTTAGTTTAGGAATAAATTAAGCAGTTTTCTTAAAAGAGTGTTAAGCTTGCAAATCTTTCTAGAAACTTAATCCTGGTTTTAAATTAAAGGGAAAAGGATAAAGCTTTCAGATTGTTCACTCAGCGCTCCAGAGCACAAAATTATTCACAGACCTGACAAATTAAAATGTATTTTCACAGGAAGAGGGTTTCTTATAGAAAATGACACATGGATTTTTGGAACTGCTGGAGTTTTGTTAATATTTTATAAAATATGATCTGTTGTTGCCTAACAGCACATCCAACCCTATAATTGTTGTCCTGCATGTTTCCACTGGTCTATTTGTCAAAGAGGTTGGATGGTTGCAGTACTGTCATCCTAACTTATGAGTCCCTCCACCGCTTTAAGCCGGGTCTCAGGCTGAGCCTCTTCAAGGTATTACTT